CGCCGCCCCTCCCCGGATCTCCCATTGGCTGTTTACCTTCCAGGTACGCCCCCTAATTGTCATTGGTTGTTCTCCGTAGACTGACCCGCCCACTCACTGCTGGATGGCTGACGGAAATTTAAATCTAAGTTTACCTCGCCCTAGCGGCCCTGGAACAGTTCCAACAGGAGACAGAGCTCCGCACTGTCCCAGCGCGCCTCCTGCCGGCTGCCCCACAAAGTGCGCTCCGACACCTGGGACTAGAGGCTGGGACTTGCTCCTTCATGGACATGCTTCAGTGTGGTCAACTATATTGCCGTTCCACCCTGCATCTAATCATTCATTTATTCATTAAAAAAATGGTTCAGCAGTTAAGAGCACCTCCAGAGGAACTGGGTTTGGCTCTCACCTTTCTTGGTGGCTCATAACCGCTTTTAATGGTTCCAGCAAATCTGATGCCCTTTCTATTATCCACAGATATTGTATGCATGCGTGGTGCACAAACATACTCGTTAAATAAATAAAAATAAGTAATTTTTTTTCCAATGGTGCAAAGCCAGGAGTGGTGGCACACTCCTAGCACGTGGGAGGTTGGGGCAGGAGGACCTGGAGTTCAAAGCCATCTTGTGCTAATGCCATATTCAAGCTCATCCTAAGCTACATAAGACCTTGTGAACATACACATATATATCTATACATACACATACACATCTATCTATATATTAATTCACTGTGCGACCCACTCCTTCACTGATGGACTCCCCTCACGCCCCACGTCATAGTATTTTGCCCAGCAACACCTCAATACTATTTAAATTCCACTTTCCACTTGCACCCGGACAACCATAGAGAGAAGGGGGGTAGGACCATGCTTGTTGACTGGTAATACTTCACATTCATGATCTGCAGTGTGTCTTTAAAATTAGCTGCTAATGTAGTCAGACTACAATACTATATATGTATAAAGAACGTCAAAATAAACCCATTATTTTATATGCTAACTAAAAATAATAAAAAAAGAAGAAATGCCTGTTGGCCTTCATTTCTGTCCTTCATGATACCTTTTCCTGTGTCTTTTCTCCCCTATGTCACTGAGAAAATACATTTACAGGACACAAACAGTCATAAAAGAACATCCACAGGTGATCGCCGTGTCTGTGTTCCGTTTGCATGGGTCGGTGGTACCAGTTCCTGACCAACCTTTCTGCCCAGGCAAAACTTTCAGCCCTTCTACCACTGCCCTGTAGATCTCCACCAGGGATTCCTTCCCCCTCCCACGCCATCAGTCTTCCTGCTAAAATACTGCTTATTTTGAAACAAGGTCTCACTTTGTTGCCCAGGCAGACCTTGAATTCTTGATCTTCCTTCCTCAGCCTCTCAAGGACTGGGATTACAGAGGTGTCCCACCATGCTCTCCTCAACATTGTTCAACTTTTTAGAAAATATATTTGTAAGTATATATGGGGGGCAGGGAGGTATGCCCATGTGAGTACAGGTGCCCCTGGAGGTCAGGGGTGTCAAATCCCCCCAGAGCTGGAGTTTCAAGTGCTTGCAAGCCACACAACATGGATGCCGGTGGGAACGCAACTTGGGTCCTCGGCAAAAGCAATTCATACTCTTAACCACTGAGCCATCTATCCAGTCCCTCATCTTAAAATAACCATTTCTTGGCTATAGATTCTCTCACCTCTGCAGCCTAGAGCCTCAAGTAAGTGGCCTATCCTTGACATCTTCAGTTTTCTCTAGGTTTTTTTTTCCCCCCTCAACCCTAAGCAAGTTTGTGCCACAACTGCTGTACCAAAACCTCTGACTGGGGTCACCACGAGTTTCACTGTGCCAAATCCAGCAAACAACTTTGTGCAAGTAAGAAAGCATTAGCGCCTCTACAAAGCCCTGGAAAATGTGATCTTTGTCTTTTGAGACAAGGTTTCATGTAGCCTAGACTGGCCTCAAACTCGTCTTGTAGCCTTTGCAATCCACTCCCTTCACCTCAGTAAATTTAAAAGAGATGAACGCTGCTGTTAGGATACTTGTCTCCATCCTTTCCCAGCCCCAACCTACTCAGGGAAGTCATTTAAACCCAAGGGTGGGGCCTTCAGTGTATCCCCACTCTGGCATCCTGTATCCAGAAGGCTATAAGATAGCAACCTTCAAGACATCAGCTCTTGCATGTAATAAGGACAGGGGCCATGGCCTGGGGCCATAGAACCACACACTGTGTCTGTGCCTCTGTTTCCTGGCTTAAAAGTGAGAAGAAGCAGAGCTTTGTCTATGGTCCTGTTGAATGAGGTAGAGCATTATTCTTCACTATAATCTAAATGAGAAAGCCCAGGATGGAGCATGGGAAAGCCCTGGACAAGTCAGTGTGTGTCCCGAGTAGAGAGCAGAGGAGGGAGCACTCTGGTGTCACCAATCAAAGTGTAAAGTACATGCTGCTGCAGGGCATCATGTCATTTCAAAGGGAATGTTTGACAAAATGAAGCCCAACACTAACCACCTGGAATTCATAAGTTTTCACCATCTACCAACCGAGAAACCCCTTCAGGTACACCTGTGAATCCCCAAAGTTCTTCCTGTTCTGGGGACTTCCTGGGAAAGTCTTCTGTGTGCAGACAGGTCTGGGAGGTCCCTACCCCCTCCCCCACCCCCAGTCACTGTCTCTTGTAGAACTCTACGCAGGTGAGCGCACAGCAATAACCACAGTCAGACCAACAGGTGTTATTAAAAGGAATTTAATAATCTTAATTAAAAATCCATAACAGCGAATTCTGTCACAGGCCTTGGCAGCTGGAAGTAACTCCAGGGCACAGGCCCCTTGGGGATATGGTCAGACCCCATCTTGGAGGCATGGAGCTACTTCAATACAATATCAAAGATCCATGAGAATTTTTTTTAAAAAAAGTTTTAAATATATTAGACTCTTTTGATTGCCATTTTTACACAAAGCTGCTGATACAGTATACAGAGTTTTAACTTTTTTCACATAAAATACATTTTTTTTTCCATAAGTGTTCTCTGTACATCAGTGGCTTCTGGTCTGGTGAGTTATTGCGGAGGGCTGGGGGTCTGCAGACTTTTCCTGGGTGTGCAGAGCCAGGCCCCCCACAGTGGCACTTCAAAGTGCCCACACAAGAAGCAGGCCCTTTGGCCACCAAGGGACTCCTGTGGAGGAGAAGCCTAAGGGCTTTCTAGGAATGTGGTGGGTCACTTCGGTGGAGTTGTCCCCTGGCCATGTGACCCTTGGCTTTTCTGTGCCCTGGGAAGGGGAAGCTATCACCAAGTACGAATAGTGAGCTTTTAGACAGTCCTGGTATCATGTAAGGATGGCCCCTCTGGAAAGCATCCTGGTACCCTGCTTTGGGAGAGCAGGTAGGAGAGAAAGCTCAGGACCAAAGAGTATCAGATACTAAGAACCAAGAGTCTCACCTGTTGCAAAGTTAAACTGTGCTAGACCAACTGGAGGACCATATTTTAATTTTATTTATTTGGTTTTTTTGAGACAGGGTTTCTCTGTATAGCCCTGACTGGCCTGGAACTCACTGTACAGACCAGGCTGGCCTTGAACCCAGAAATACACTGCCTGCCTCTGCCTCCCTAGTGCTGGGATTAAAGGTGTGTGCCACTATGTCCATCTGGGTGCCACACTCTGGCAACCTTTCCAAGCATCTAAAAGTTCATCAAACAATGCAGAGAAGCTTCATTAATACTGAATATTTTAATTATATCCCCAAAGTCTTCAGTGGACCTGCACTTAAGATTCATTCTAATTCCCTGAGCTACTGGCCAGAAAGTCACAATCTGGTGATAGCTACCAATTTCTAATTGTTTACAGAGCAAAAGGTGGGTGCAAGGAGCACCGCTCACAGGGAATCACAGGGCACCTGGTTTGGAAATAGATATCTTCAGTTTGCCAAGAATGGCTACCAAGACACAGGTTCCTGGTAGAAGTGGGACATTTGGTCAACCTTGCCAAGCTTCCACTAGCCCCTGGATCCACACCTTCCAGGGAGAGAGGCTGACATACAAAGAAAGGTTTGCTATGAAGATGAGTAGTTGTTCTCACTTCCAATATCCATTGGCGGGGTAGGAGAGAAGACTGTATGATTCATGAGCAAAAATGAATGAGAGATGACTGTAAATGCTAGGGATGCATTTGACAGCAAATTGCAGACTTCTAATTCTTCCAGACACTGACCTCAGCCTGCTGTTATATTGTTCTCCAGGGATGCGGATGCTGACCTGAAGGCAACCTCTGAAGACTCTAAAAGAACTAGAAGAACTGGTGTGGGACCAGATCTAGCATCTGCACTTAGTGGCAAATGTTATCTCAGTGTGGTCATCAAGCTGCACCAGCTAAAAGGTTCACACTAAGAACTGCAGGAGCTGCAAAGCACAGGGGCACTGTGGGATGCAGGAACTCTGACCAGAATAATGGATGAGTCTGGGGATGCCTACAGTCCTGAAGGGGTCAAAGTCCTTGTTACCTGGCTGGTCCATTATCTGCAGACACTACCACCATGTCTGGTATGTCTCAGCACCTCAATAGGTTACATGAGTGAATGAGTAGGTGGCCATGGCTCATACACTGGAGCATATTCCTCAATGTGGCTCTCAATATTCCAAAGAATCTCAGGGAAAGTGCCCTGGGAACTTGGAGCCCAAACTGGGAACATTTGTTTATCCCTGGTGGAAAACATGAACAAAAGTCCACACTGTTTGAGGCTAGCTCCCATGGAAGAGGCAGCTAAGTTTCCCATCCCTCAGGTAGACAGGAATGGCCTAGGGGGCAGAAAGAAGTGCTGGGGGTGGAGGAGGATTGGCCTGAATGGCTCAGAGAGGGCAATAAATGCCTTCACTCTCTGGCCCCTGAGCAAAGACCTGGGAAACCCTGGGCAGCTGACTCCTAAGAGTATGTGACTGGCTGCCTGGGCACCTTGTGGCTAAAGTCAGCTCCAGAGGCATTTCAGTGTCCGTTAGAGCCAAATATTGGTTTAAGCCACAGGTGTGTTTTGCCCATCCCCTTTTTGGCCATGGACTGCAGAACCTATCTAAGGCCCCAGGGATTCAAGAAACTGACTTTGGTCTCCTGTGCTGCCCCACCATGCCAAATTGCATTTGTCCTGGAGTTGAGGAGGGGGTGAGCTAGTATTGTGCACCTTCTTCTGCATCCAGCAGCCTCCAGGGCACTCTCTGGTCCACACTCCTGATCCAGACAAAGCAACGCCCCGACCTAGTCAGGCCCTGATTAAAATCTAGTCTATTGAAGTCCCAAGGCCACAGGGGAGAAAGAGACCAACTAATGGCAAGCCTCACTACTAAGGTTGTGGCACAAGGGACCATCACAATATGGGTATCTGTCCCTTACATCCGAATCTAGACTTAGGGACCCTCTTGGGGCTCTAAGGAGGTAGTTTAAGGACAAATAAAAGGAGCACAGAGCAAGGAACAAACTTGCAGCTTGCTAGTTACACCAGAAGATTTTGGTGGAGCCAGTGTGTCAGACCCAAGGTATGTTGCACAATTTCAATGGGTTTGTGGGAGAGCGTAATGGTGAAGTGGTATGGGCTTCCTTCCCTGGTGTCAGGAAGACCAGAGCAGCAAAGCTGTACAGCTGGGATGAGAGCCAACTCAAGCCATGCCACCCCTCTCCTGAATGCAGCACAGGACAGTGCTCATGGGCATCTCAGTCTGTAGCTTTGGGTGTTACCATTCCAATGAAAGCAGGCTGGGAGCTTTGAGACCTCCTGGCAGAAGCCAATAAGTGACCCTTGGCAAAAAGTCTTATATAGCATTATAGAAAAGGGAAAGCTTGGAGGGGCGTGGGCGTGAGCATTCACTCTGCACACTCGACTGAGTAAGGTGGGTGGGTGGTGTGCAGGCCAGTTTCAACTGCTCGCTGTTGAAGGGCTGGCTGAGATGGGCTAGACCAAAACAGCCTGGAAACCACAAAAGCTAGGGTGTTGTGTTATATCAGTGTTAACTAGGGTGTCTTCAGCAAGCAGTGCACTCACCCTTTCCCTGGGAGACCCCCACAGAAGCTCCTAGTGAAATTCATTTTTCAAACACCAGACAATAAATCCCAATCATGGTGCTATCTTGGGTGACAGAAAATTCAGTTACCTCCCACCTGGAATTTTACAGCCTCAAAGAATGCTTTACCCAAATGCAGTTTGGAAAATAACAATGTGCTATGCACTCTACCCAACTCCTGTGCTCCCACAGAAGACCAACACAAGATTTGGATTCGTCTAAGAGTGGATGGCCTGGTTTTCAAGCTCAGTCCTTGAACAGTCACACAGCTGCCTGTTGACGTGTATGAGACTGGCTCTCAGCAAGGCAGTTGGGAACAGGCCTGGACTCACTGATCTGATCCATATTGATTCCTGGCTCCCATGAACACAGAGGACTTCCTGTCCCTGCTAGGTATGGATGGTGTCCCAGTCTGGTATGACTTTAAGCGAAACTGTGGGTCTCAGCTGAGCAGGTCTGTCCCCCATGGAAGCCAATTGGCATACCAAGACTGCCTTGGACTCATTCTTCCAGGAATAATCTATAGATTCTCAGTCCCACCAAGAACTCAGTTATAACATTCCCACACACTGAAGTGTGTGTGTGTGTGTGTGTGTGTGTGTGTGTGTGTGTGTGTGTGTGTGTGTGTGTGTGTGTAGGGGAGTGGGTGTTAGTCCTGGTCCCGAGAAGCCTTTACAAAGTACAGAACTGACATCCCCAAGCCCACCCTCCCTGAATCAGATTGCAGAGTGAGTTGGGGCTGCTATGCTTCAGATGCAGGCTTTGAGGCAAGAAAGCAGCACGAGGGGAGTAGGGATGCTATGGGCAGTTGGGCATGAGGTAAGGTCAGCATTCCTCTGCAAAGCAGCTCCCACCTCTCCCTGGATGCCCTCTGACACCTCCCCAGCCAGGGCTGGCTTGGATTCCAGGGGCCCCTATCGGAGGCAGCTCTCTCCTCCAGCTCACAGACACTAGGAGATCCGGCAGCAGCCATGGACTTTCTCCTCCATCTCCTCCATGGGGGCCTTGAACTTCAAGAGCGGGGGGTCTCCGCTGGTGACTGTGTAATACACCGAGGTCCCGTTGCTGCTGTAGGGGGAAGTTCTGCCTCCGATCAAGGGGGCCTTGCCTTCGCTGCTGCTCTCCCCTGACCTGGCCACGCTGCTGCCCAGGTGGGTGCTTAAGAAAGGATGGCTGAGCAGCTTGGCTGCAGCCCGCTGCCTCTTCAGCTCCAGGAGCGTTTGGGGGCTCTGCTCCTTGAAGCCGCTCCAGGGTGGGGGGACCTCAGCCACACCGGGGTTGCCATAGGCCATGCTGTAGTCAGGCATCTCATGCATCTTCCATATGTCCCCATTGGCCAGTGCATACTGGTAGGTGCTGACAGGAGCCCGGAGGCCATTCTCCACAGGCCCATCCAGTTCTCCCCGAGAGATCTTGGTAGAGAATTCTGAGAGCAACACTGGCTTCTCCAGCCTGGGGTTCTGGAGTGAGGGAGAACAGCATCAGTACCACCCCCAGCTAGAGCATCTGCACCAACCAGCCACCTGCACCTCTGCTAAGGGACCCATCCTCCATCCATTTCTCCACCTTCATGTAGCTTTGGGGCATCTGGGCCTGTGTTCTGGTAGGGCAGACCAAAGCCCATCCCGACCCCAGGGCTGAAGCTAATGGACATATTTTATTGCCAATGTCCTAGAATGAGTTAATAGAAATGGAATCAGTGAAACTCAACTTTGAGACTTTTTCTAGAACAACCAGAAAGATGTTTCTGTAAGAACTGCCATTGGTAAAGATGCTGTAAGCTGGGGGATGCAGAAGCACAGGGTCAAAGATCTTTTCTCTGCTTGTAAGAGAAGCTGACATCAAGGAACACTGATCACAGGGAGACTGACCTATGGTGTATTCTGAGCCCCTAGTTCCTGCTGGGCCAAGATCTTTCCAGCTAGGAGAGCCAATAAATTCCCGTTTTGTGTAAGTCAATTTTAATTAGATCCCACCACCACCACCTTAGTCACTTGTAACACTTGCCCTTTATTTCCAGCAAATCTCCACTTCACATAATAGAGTCTCACATGAGGATCCTATACACTTCGACAGTACTCGGATAGTAAGAGCTTGAAAGATAGCTAATGTCCAGAAACTATAAAGAAACAGCTGATAACAGCAAAGATTCAACCCACTGTAAAGTCATCATAAACAAAGTCATGAGTCACATATTTAAAAAAAACTGGAAAATCATTTGTGACATATATGACAATAAAAAGAATAATTTCAAATTGAAAAGAATCAGTTGATTTATGGGGTTAGAGAGATAGCTCAGGCATGGTGGCACGGACCTGAAATCCCAGCACTTAGAAGGCTGAGGCAGGAGGATCATGGGATCAAGGCTTGTGCTACAGAGCAAAGCCCTGTCTTAACACACACACACACACACACACACACACACACACACACACACACACACAGACACACACACACAGACACACACACACACACACACCATGTGAGAGAGATATAATATTTCACATGCAAAACTGTCTCAATGAATAGACTTTTCTTCCTTCTCAGCCTTTATATGGCACCAGGTATTAGAAGTCCTCCGTTAGAAGCAATAGGAGGAGGTGCAAAGATTATCCTATCTCATTTTACACAGTGATTGGAATATCTGCAGGTTTTGGCATCTGAGGGAAGCCAGGTGCTGAAACTAACACTGCCCCCCCACCCCATAAGCACCAATACAACTGCGGAGTATTCCCACTTTAAGACTATATATTAGACAAGTACAACTACACCATTGTGGTGGTTTGAAAGAAAAATGGCCCCTTTGGCTCAGCAGTTAAGAGCACTGGCTGCTCTTCTAGAGCTCCCTGGTTCAATTCCCAGCACCCACATGGCAGCTCACAATTGTCTGTAACTCCAGTTTCAGGGGATCCGACACCCATGCCAAAACATTAATGCCCATAAAATAAAAATTTAACAAAAAAAGGAGTTGCCGTGGTCATGGTGTCTCTTTGCTCTAACTAGGGACTGGGGTATTACTGTGATAGGCCTGACCATCCTGTGATAGATTTGGAGGAATTTGGACTTTGATACTTTGGATTCAGAAAGCAGTGGAATGCTTTAAGCACTGTGTAATAGGCCATACTGGTAGGGGCATGGAAGACAGTGGTGCTGAGAATGATTTGAACTGTTGGGAGCTGGCTTCAGAGGACAAGAATTTGTCACTGCCCTTTGCCCTTGTCTGAAAAGTCTGCCTGAGGCTAAAGTGAAAAGTTTTGGATTAATTCTATTAGCAGAGGATTAATTCTATTAGCAGAGGCTAATATAGACTCTGGTGTGTGGCTAGTGGTAACTCTAATGAAGATTTATGATGAAAAGGAGTAAGATGAGCAAGGTAAACTACAAAACATAAAATTTGAGGAGAAAAGACACACTAGGAAGTGGAATGGAGCTAAATCCTGTGTTCAAACAGATACACAGATTAAGAAATAGAATAAAGGGAGTGGGAACCTCAGGGCTAGATCCCACCCAGCTAAGTTTCCAACTTGTAAAAGGGAATTAAAGAAAAGCTTAGATCCAGGTGTGGTGGTACACACCTTTAATCCCAGCATGGGGATGTCAGAGGCTGGCAGATCTCTGAGTTTGAAGCCAGACTGGTATACAGACCATGTTCCAGAACAGTCAAACTTAGGCAGTGAAGGAATCCATCAAAAACAGAAAGTTGGTGAAGATGTAATTGAATGAGGGGGCCATGTTCCAGCCCCAGTAAGCAGCAGAACTTGGCAGCTTCAGCCATATGGTTTTGGAGTTAAGGATAGAAGAAAGGGGCTATCGAATTTGCCTCTGAAGCCAAGTGTATCAGGGGTGTTCCTGAAAAGAGACCTAGAGAGCCATTTCATGAAGCTGTGAAGGTGAAGCCTGGATTGCCTTGGAGACCCCAAAATGTTTGAGATGCCAGAGCAGATGCAGAGGAGAGCTGGTAATAGGAAGTGGAGCCAGCCCAAGAGAAAGAAGTGTGTTGTAGTCAACAGAGCTAAAGGAGTTGGAGATCTGAAAAGCATTTCAACCTTAGACACAGAGATGCAGAGTTTGCCCAGCAGGATTTCAGTCTTTCTTTGGTCCAGTATTTTATCACTATGCTTCATTTCTTCCATTTGGAATGGTAATGTATATCCCGTGCCATTATATGCTGGAAATGTGTGATCTGTTTTTTGATTTTGACTTTGCAGGGGATTACAGTTCAGAGATTGCATGAATCTCAGAAGACACTTAGAACTTTAGACTTTTAAATAAGTCTGAGACTGCTGTAGACTATGGGGACTTTTGAAGCAGGACTGAATGTGTTTTTGCATTATGATACGGCCACAAGCCTTTGGAGGCCAGGGAATGGAATGTGGTGGTTTGAAAGAAAATGTCCCCCAAAGGGAGTGATGGGGAATGTACTGTGTATGTTTATCTTATTGATTGTTGAATAAAATACTGTTTGGCCAATGAGACAGCAAGTTCGACGGGACTAGGAGTCAGAGAGGATTCTGGGAAATGTAGTAGAGAAGTGATGATCTCGGCAGGAAGTGACATAGCAAGGAGACTCATATTTAAGCGAAGGAGAAACAGAACGGTGTCAGAAGTGGGATCACCCCCTGCCCCAAGGTTCCCAGACAAAGAGGTAAACCTGCCGCCACAGCCTGCCCTGTCAGGCCGCTAAGAGGCATCGGAGCAGCTTCCATATGCTCGAGCTGTCCAGGCGCTTCTAGAGTTTAAACTCTTTGGCGGAAAGATTTATCGTAACAGGGAGTGCCACTATTAGGAGGTGTGGCCTTCTTAGAGTGTGTGTGCCCTCATAGGAGGAGGTGGCTTTGAGGTCTCATATATTCTCAATCTAAGAACTAAGTGTCTTAGTTCACTTCCTGTTGCCTGCAAGATGTAGGACTCTCAGCTCCTTATCCAGCACTATGTCTGCCTGCACACTGCCATGTTCTACCATAATGATAATAGACTAAACCTCTGAAACTGCAAGCCATCCAATTAAATGTTTTCCTTTGTAAGAGTTGCCATGGTCATGGTGTCTCCTCCCAGCACTATAAACCCTAAGTAAGACAATGACTTTCTGAAAAAGGCAAAATTCTGGAAATATAAGATCATTAACAACACCTACACATGTGCACACGTGCGCGCTCGCGCACGCGCGCACGCGCACACACACACACACACACACACACACACACACACACACACACACACACACACACACACACACACAAAATTAAATAGGTAGAAAGTTGTCCTCAGGTTCAATTTCATTACCGTTTTGTATTTGTGTGCTGTCACAATGTGCTCAGGTGGGACACTGGGGGTCTTCTGAGACAGTGAAAGTATGTTGCATGATACTGTAATGGTGAAGACCACAGATGGTGTAACACAGAGTCACATCTGGTGTGATATGCTTCAGTATGGCCTCATCAGTGACAGCACACACAGTACACAAGTATAAAATGGTAATGAAATAGAACCTGAGGACAGTTTTCTACCTATTTAATTTCGTGTGTGTGTGTGTGTGTGTGTGTGTGTGTGTGTGTGTGTGTGTGTGTGTGTGTCTGTGTGTGTGTGTGTGTGTGTGTGTATGTGCTTGGTATGATTGAGATCAGAGGTCTCTTCCTGAACCTGGAGCTCACCAATTCAGCTAGATTGGCTGACCGGAAAGCCCCAAGGGTCTTCCTGTCTCCATCTCCCAGGCAACAGGATTATATAGGTGTGTATATCCAGTCCAACATTTTTTTTTTTTAAGACAGGGTCTCACCATGTAGCTCTGGCTATCCTGTAACTATATAAACCTATATAAACCATGCTAGCCTTGAACTCACAGAAATCTCTCTTTCTGCCCTGCCTCTGCTTCTGCCCCTGCCCTTGCCTTTGCCTCCTGAGTGCTGGGATCAAATGCATGCACCACCATGCCTGGTCAGCTTTTTGTATTATGTGTGTGTGCTGCAGATCCTCACTCACGTCCTCGTGTTTGCATGGCAAACACTTTACTGGCCGAGCCATCTCCTCAACCACTCCACTCGTTTTTCTATAAACGTAAAACTGCTTCAAATCTCAAGGTCTATTATTGAGAGAGAGAAAAGGTACATATTCAACGTCTGAGTCCAGTGATTCTCTTTGTAACTACTGTTAAATTAAGATAAGGGCTCTTTCCCTGCTACGGCTGGGGAAGCAGATGCTTTGTGAATTCAAGAGTCAGCTTCACCTCTAACCCCATCACCAGGGCCAGGGAAGATGTTCCTGGTTGGAAGTATAATAGATGTCAATACTTAGGATGCTCAAGACCGCTTTCATCCACATGGCTCAACCTGTAAAATTCAAGAAGTTGCCAAAGCCTTGGACAAGTGCCCAGTCCATCTTAGCATGCTTACACCCATCTGTGATGAACTTACATATGTAAGCACGGAGAAGTCCTAGTGCTGAGCACCAAATCAACTTAATTAGGGGTAGTGACAAGAAGAAAGTAGAAGAATGGGCAAGCCTGTACAAAACTGATCCAGATGGGAAGCCCTGTGATGTGGTTGGCTGTAGCTACATAGTTATGTTGTGGTTAGAGAGTATAGAATAGCATCAGAACAAAGAGGTCACCGAAGAGGGCTTCAAAGGCAAGCAATGAACAAATAAAATTATTTGGCTCAAAAATAATTATGAGATTATATTAGGTTGGGATGGGCCCTCATCTGATGACTAGGGCCCTTATAAGAAAACAGAGGGGCCAGGAAAATGGCTTGGTTGGCAAAGTGCCTGCCACATAAGTGGTAAGACCTGAGTGTGGACTCCCAGCATCCACTCAAAAAGCTGAGTGTGGTCATTCATGTCTGCAACCCTAATACAGAGTCAGAAGAGACATGTGGACCTCTGGAGCTCACTGACCAGCCAGGCTAGCCAACTGGTGAGCATTGGGTTCAGTAAGAGAACCTCTCTCAAGAGAAATGGTGGCAAGTGACTGGTGAATATACCAGACATTGGCCTCTGGCCTGCACATGTAATGTGCATTCACATGTATGTGTCCATGTGTATACTATATACACAAATATATGTTTTAAATAAAAAGAATCAGAGGTGTACACATACACAGGAAGGTGGCTTGTGAAAACAGAGGCAGAGATCAAAGTCATACTAAAGGTGAAGGGACACCCAAACAACCAGAAGCTGGGAGGAGGCCTTGGCATAGACCTTCAGAAGCACCAAGAGGAACCAACCCTGTCAACATATTCATCTTAGACTTCTGGACTTCAGACCCCTGAGTGCCCACCATTTTAAGCCCCATTGTGACCTCTGACACCACAGCTGAGGAAGCCCACACACCATCTTCTGAGAGTGCCGAGAACCCGGAGCCTGCTGCAGGAGCCCCTTCTCACAGCCTGTCCCAGAGCCCTAGCACATTTTTCAGAATACCCCCTTCAACCATGGCATCTTGAGAAACACCACTCAATCTGTGTCCCTATAAAAGAAGGTGTTGGCTCTTATCTCCTAGGGTGACTGTCATGCTGAGCCTCTCTTCTGGGGGATTCAGGACCAGATCTATTGGGGGAAAAGCAAACTTATGGAATTCACTATGTCCCTGCCAATTAGGAGCCCCTTTCTGACGAATACACCCAAGGGTCACCTCCTTAACAGCAGTAACTACCACTGTCATACAGGAGCCAGCTGTTAAAGGGTGCCACTCAGCTATTTCCCTTCTGGTGGTTCTCAGATGAAGAGGTAGGTAGGACCAGGCTGGGCCTTATCCTTTTCACAAGGTAGTGGCCAACACCGAAGCAAGGCAGGAGGTCCCTCACCGGGTCCTTGTTCTCCTGGTCAGTCCTGGTCTCCCTGATGTCTCCGTTGTAGGTGGAGGTACGCTGGTCCTCTGCTGCACTCCGCTGTTGCCACAAGATGGCCTCTCCCTCATACTCTTTCCGGTACAGGTTGGTTCTGTCTGACAGGCTGGCTCGACGCACCACCTTCCTGAGAAGGACAGAGGGGGTTCTGGGAAGCTGTGCCCAGGAGCCACAGGCAGGCATGTGCAAGGGCCCCTGGTTGCCCTTACCACTCACCCACGGCTGCCTGCACTGGATGTCCTCCGGCTCAGGGATGACTTGTGCCTCAGCTGGGACTTCATGATCACGTCATGCTTGTGTTTAAGCTCTAACAGCAGGACCTTGAACTCCTCCTCCTCACACAAGTCTGAAGGAGTACAAGAGTCAGTTGCAAAAGGCAAAGTGTGAACACACTGGAAGCTCTAAGAACCTTTTGGGGCCCAGAGGGAGGGGAGAATCAACCCCTGCTTATTTCCTTAGAGGAATATGGGGATGGGAGACCTGAGTCTCTGAACTCCTGAAGTTCCTAGCTAAGACTGAGGAACTCATACCATGCTGGTAGGCTTTGTCGGCTTGACACAAACTTAGGCATGTCTGGGAAGAGAGAATCTCAATTGAGGGATTGCCTCCATCAGACTGTTCTGTGAGCAAGACTATGGGGCATTTTCTTGACTAATGATTAACCTAGGAGGGCTAGACCACTGTGGGTCATGCCACCCCTGGCCAGGTGAGCCTGGGTTGTATAACAAAGCAGGGGGAGCAAGCCACAGGAGCAAGCCAGTAAGCAGGATTCCTCCATGGCCTCTCCTCAGTTCCTGCTTTGAGTTTCCTCAATGATGGACTATGATGTAGAAGTGTAAGCCAAATTAAACCCAGTCCTTCCAACATTGCTTTTGGTCAGTGTTTTATCACAGCAACAGAAAAGCAGACTAGGACACATACCCTTGATAGTCTCTGGGAGAGTCATAAAGTCTCCCTGATGTGAGCATTGAGAGAAACAAGCAGATCCCCCAAGCAAGAAATGAGGCAGTGATGCTGAGAAATCCCTTTAACCTCACCAGCCAATCTGCTGAGTCTTCTATCAACCTGTCCATCTACTGGATAACCTGGTCATCTTTCCATAGGTTCATCCTCAGCCCATTTATTTATCTATCCATCCATCATTACATCCAACATCACATTATCTGTTTACCCACTCATCCACCCACCTATTCATCCTTTATCCATCTATCTATCTATCCATCCATCCATCCATCTATCTATCTATCTATCTATCTATCTATCTATCTATCTATCTCATCTACCTACCTTCAGTATGCAGCCATATATTCAACCATACATCTATTCACCATCAAAAAACCTGCTAAGTATGTACATACAAAGTATTAAGCTGTCTTACCTATTGGCATCTCATCCATGGATGTCCTGGCACTGAGACTAGCTCCATGGGACACTAACAGCTCTGCCATTGGCATCTGCAACACAGGAAGAAGTTCATGTTCCCTATACCCACGACGCAAGAAGCCTGGGAGAGTACCCAAGATCTCCTAGAATGTGACCCAGTAAACAGTGGAGGAAAGTTGATTCCCATGCTGAAGCCATGAGAGCGCCCTGTCAAATGTGATAGGCTTGCCCTGTCAAATGTGATAGGCTTAGCACCTCCTCCCAGCATGCCTAGGTAAGTAATTACAAGGAGAAGCAGGAGGAGGAGGAACCAGTTGTGACTCCAAGTTGTCGGGTGTCTATGGGTGGCTGCACAGGCTGCAATCACGTTTAGAAAAATACAATCTAGAGAACCCACACAATGCAGTAATCAAGGGAATTTTCTACAGGAGAAATTTGAGTTTCATCCTGCTAGGATATTTAGGCCAATGTGTTTTCGACCTCCCTGAGCCTTCCCATGTCACACACTCACTGTAGCCAGTGCCTTAGGTAGGTCTTGTTCTCTTGTACCAATTGCCAGCCCAAAGGACTTGGAATCATCAGTTTTACCTTGTGCCTGACTACCCTACGGGAGGTAGGAAGTACCTGTCCCCAGAAGGCTGCTGCATGCAGAGGCTCCCAGCCATCCCAGTCCTTCACATCCACACGCACTCCATGGTCCAGGAGGAGCTCAGCTGCCCGCAGGTATCCATTGGCTCCAGCTATGTGTAGCTGCAGGAGAGGAAAGAAGTGAGCATCCCTAAGGGAGGCAGGGTGACCTTTCTCACCCCAAACCTCAGAGCATCCTTGAGGTCAGGGAATGGAACAGATGAGGTGGCGATACCAGCCGGAAAGGTCGCAGGGGGTAACTAAGTGTGAAATAGGAAAATCCAACGGAGGGCAGGCAGAGAGATGAGCTCTTCACCTGAGCCCCGGGAAGGGGTCTCAGAGGTTCAGTATAGTAATCTGAAAAAATACCTGCCTATTCTTTGACATACCTTCTTTTAAAATGCAGAATCTGATTGCTCTGCCTTTGAATGGAGACCACATTGCGTGGTTCACGTCTAACCACGAGGATATTACAAAGTGGCAGTGTATGATTAATGAGGCTGGGGCATGAGAGGCATTGCTGCTTTTACCTCATGCTCTCTTGGATTCATCTGGAAGGAGGTAGCCAACTCATGGAGCCCTGAAGAGGAGTTGTAAGAAGGCAAGAGACTGAGGCCTTCTACTAACTGCCAACATGATCACAAGCCTTGTGGGGGAACCACATGAAGGAGACCAACTTCAGATGTGACTGTAGCCACTGTCAACCTCATGGGGAATGCCAAGTCAGAGTCTCCCAGCCAAGCAACTCCTAATTCCCTGCTGCATAGAAACATCGAGTTTACTATGTAGATGCTGCCTGTAGAGTCGATTGTTACACAGCAATGGTAATTGATACCCGTAATGGCAAGACTCACGCTGTGCATGCTGAGGTCCCAGCTAGTTTGTTTGTTTGTTTGTTTGTTTATCTAGTTAATGAGAAAAGGTCTCATTCTATAGCCCAAGATAGCCTCAACTTGTGTTTTTTTATTTTTTTATTTAAATTAGAAACAAGATTGTTTTACATGTCAATCCCCATTCACTCTCCCTCCCCTCCTCCCCTGTCCCCACTAACACCCTTCCTATCCCATACCCTTTCTGCTCCCCAGGGAGAGTGAAGCCTTCCATGGAGGGGGTCTTCAGAGTCTGTCATATCCTTTGGGATAGGGCCTAGGCCCTCCCCCGTGTGTCTAGGCTGAGGGAGTATCTCTCCATGTGAAATGGGCTCCCAAAGTCCATTCCTATGCTAGGGATAAGTACTCATCTGCTACAAGGGGCCCCATAGATTTCCTGCCTCAGCTTCACAAGTACTGGGATTATGGGCCTGAGCCACCACTGAGGCTGAGACCCTAACTCTTCTACTCAGCACCACTCAAGGCTGCCTCTCATGGCTGTCCCCAAGTAGACCTCAGTTGCTCCCCTTGTCCAGTCACCCAGAAAAGAAAGAGCTTAGCACTGGGTGGAGAGCATGATGGCAAGGTATGTGATGAGAACGAGTGAAGGGGAGAAGGAAGTGAGACGAGGAGAAACTGCTGTTCAGCCACAGAGGGGACAGAAGTGGCAGTGTCTAGAGCAGGCTGAAGACTGACTGGGAATGATGCTGAGGATAGAAAGGGTTTGGGATCTGTGATGGAAGTCACTGGGACAGAGAAGTCACGGTTCAGATTGGATGAGATTGCTCTGAGGCTCTGATAAGGGCAGGTTTTCTTTTCTCTTTTATTTTTTTCAGGATAAATCTAGGGTAAGATGTGATTAAGTAGCACATGCAGATCAGTATAATTATCTGATTTATAAATCTGGCGCTTGCTGGTTGTGGAGAATGAAACCTTGCTGGCCATCCAGACACCTCAAAGCACAGGGTCACAGTAGGTACTTTCCCAGGGAATAAAAAACATGATTCATATAGGGAGACTGCTAATGAGGAGGAGGGCTGTCAGAGCCAGCATGGTGGCACTTGCCTGGAGTCCCATCACTTAGGAGGTAGAGGCAAGAGGACCTTGGGCTCAGTGTCAGCTTGAGCTATATATATATATATAGCAAGAGCCTATCTCAAAAATAAATAAGGCCTGGGGATAGATCTCAGAAGCATGCATTTGACTAGCGTATATGAAGAGACAGGACTGTGCTCGACAGCTGCTGAGTATCATTCAGTTCTCCCAGCTGCCCTGGGAGAAGACACCATTACCTCTAGTTTACTAGAGAGACTCTGTACATGCCTGGCCCAGGTGGCCGGGGTTACCATAAAGCCATCAGCACTCAGTATCACTACCTGACCCCATTCTTCAGTGTTGAGCTGAGCAGGAGATCTGAGCAAGGACTTGTCTAACTGTAATGGACATGAAGCAGAGGTCAGAATTCAGAGCTCAAGAGTAAATGAAAGAAGCCCATCAACAAATCTGAGGCCCAAAGTCAGCTCTAAGAGCAATGAGGTGAGCCTAATAGTGCTGAGCCCTGTCTGCTGGACAGCCCCTGGGTCCCTGGATGCCCATGACCTGCAAGGAGCCTAAACCTAGTAGGTCAAGGTCAAGTGCCCAGACCTCGAAGTGGGGACTTCAATAGCCATGTTTCAGTTTTCAGCTTAGAAACTGCAGAAGCAGAATTTCCCCCTAGTACTGAGCTTCTACTATTGAGGGCCTAGAGGGGCCGAGGTGTCCTCTCAAGCTGCTGACAGTGGCAGCTGAGTTACAAGGATCAAGAAGGCTCTGTCATTTTCTCTCTCCAAGGACAAGTAGAGCATGTAGCACAGAGGTGACCCTTGTAACTATGTGCTACCTGGATAGACGGATGGATGGATGGATGGATGGATGGATGGATGGATGGATGGATGGATGGGGCAGAGAGATGGACAGATGGATGGATGACAGATGGATAGATTGATGGAGTGATAGATAAAATATGTTACAGTGACCCTCGGGGAAAGCTAAATGAGAAGGGCCGTGGTTTTCAAGGGCACAGTAAGCAAGGCTTGGATGACACAAAGCAAGATTGTGCAAATGACAGACCTTGAGGAGAATGTAGGTAGTGCCATGGAGACAAAGCAGAAGGACATCAGAGCCCAACCCTGGAACTCCTGACTCCCAGCCCAGCTGAGAATGGCCAGAGTCAGAAAGAGGCTGGACCCCAGCCTTAATTGTTTATATTCCAGGAGCAGCAGGGGCTCTAGAGAAGGCCCAAGGCCACAAGCGTATAGGTTTTCACCCTACCAGGAACCAGACCCAACTCATCCCTACTTGGTCTTGGTTCTGTACTTGCCCCTAATCCACACAGCCTGACCCAACTCCTCACCAGTGTGGCTCCTTGGGCATCTATCCAGTCAAGATCCTGGCCTGCTGCAATCATGCAGTGGATGTCCGATATCATCTTCTGCTCAGGGGCTGCCCGCATCTCATTGATTTTCTCCTGGGTGATGCCTGCAGGGAGGTGAGAGGTTACTCAATACTATCAGGTCTGGGTACCAAGCAGACAGGAAAGGCATGGATCCTCCTCCCAAAGTCTGCCAATCACCCAGTGCACAGATATGCCAAAGATCATTGTCCCCAGGCCTGCTGAACACAAACACCATGGGTTACCTCACAGGACAAGGGCCATTCCTTCCTGGCACATAGTAGGCTTCTTATGAACATCACTCACTTCCAGCACATTGTTCCACCTGCTAGGTTGGAGCACCTGCCCGCTCTCCTCCAGTTGCCCCAATTGCTACTCTGCCTCATTCTTTCAGTGCTGACCTAATCACATCCCCAGCTAGTGCCCACTGGCCCCTCTTGTTGATTTCCTTTCTCTCATATGCCACTGTGTTTTCAGTACCATATGCAATAGTTTAGACATTTTTCGTTGTAAGAATGGATAAATCAGTGAATATATTATTTTCAAATGGACAGTTAAGCAAGAGATGGAAGGGCCCAGAAAGACTTTCGCTTTTTGTTTTCTGAGACAGGGTCTCACTCTAGTGCAGGCTGGCCTCAGATGAGTGACAATTCTCCTGCCTCAGCCTCCTATTTGCTAAGATGACAAGCACGAGCCATTCCAGTTCCAGAGAGATATAGCCCAAACCTCTGGCTAACAAAAGTGTGCCTGTCCCTGGTGGCTACTGACTTAAGGAGAGAAACAATGTCCCATTAAAAAAAACAAAAAACAAAAAACATGTGGTCAAGGTTCCTTGGGTAGAATTCAGAGCAATCTGGAAACCCAAAAGGAGAAAAAAAGGTTACATGCTTATTCTGACTAGTGTTCACATAAGTGTGTATTTCCTACCATCAGAAAAATTAGCAGTACCTGTGAGCCTATGGCAAACAGAAACTAGGGGTAATTTCATACCACAGCATCCAATCATTGAAAGAATTATGTAGCACATTTTAAAATATTGTGGTAGCTATGTTGAAAAATGATCCAGCTGGCTTCCTTCATACTCCAGCAGCTTCATAAGTCCCCTGGGAGTCTGTAGTTTCACTGGGTTGGCACAAAAGTTATTTTAAAACTTTCTACAGGATTTAGTGGGGAAAATGCAGGTACCAGGGAGGACAGAAGCCAAATCAACAGCGGCCACAGAGATCTGGGGAGAGGTGAGGTGAGGGTCTGGCAAGACCTTGGGCCACAGCTACAGGTCTGGGTTTAAGACCATTTTTACTAGAGACTGCTTTGCAGGCATGCATTTGGGAGCTGGGACGGGCAGGTGTCTCCTGCTGTTACACGTGCTTGTCTCCGAAGCTCACTGCGAGCCGAGAACAGCACACATCTTGTTTATCTGGGCCCCTGGCAGCCAGTTTGGTGCCTGGCACCAAGCAGCACCCGCAAATGTTCTTGACTTTTTACCATGTTCCCAAACGGGGACACATCTTTATGGTGAGTGTTGACTGAACTGAATTGTCACAGCTGACAAATAGGAGGCCAGCTGAGGCCGCCTGTGTGTGTGGGTGACAGGGAGAACAATAGCTCCCTCTACATGGCACATGTTCCAAGGCCCTTTCATGTCCCTATCTTTTAATCATACAGATGACAATAATAACAAGGACCTGTCCCAGTTATTGGGAGCTAAGCACGAGGCTGGCAGGTACATAGCCAGCTAATATAACAAGGACCTGTCCCAGTTATTGGGAGCTAAGCACGAGGCTGGCAGGGACATAGCCAGCCAGCGCTGTTCCCATCCATTGAAACCATGCTCACTGCAGTACCTCACTGTGCCCATGGTATAACATACAGCTCCCCCTTGCCTTGGTATGCCATGCAGGTCTCAATGACATCCAGGGTGGGCTCATCCTCGCAGAGGTCATATGGCATGTTCCCATCGGAGTTGACAGCAAGCAAGTCAGCCCCACTGCAGAGAAAGGGTCAGAGTGAGAGCAAAGCAGGTGTGTCTGGGTTGGCCTGGTGGTCTCCATCATCTAGCTTCCCACCCACAGACTCCCTGCACTTTCCAGCAGCCATGACCCCACCTAGGTGTCTCCCAGCTAAGTGATGTCCTTCCCTTCCCACCACATATCCTGGAATGCAGTGTTTCCGAATCTCAGGGTCCCAGCAGGAAGGGACCAAGGTCTCAGATGTGCTCCATCAGCAGATGGGCGCTTCCAGACAGAGGCCAAAGCCCTCTCAGATAACAACAATAATATGGTGTAAACAGGAGCAGGACCTGTCCCCTGCTACCTGCTTGGAACCAGACTAAAAGTAAGTCCTTTGCACATATTACCTTAAGGAGTCTCCCCCACTCCCCTGAGGGGTGCTGCTGTGGGCCTCACCTCACTCAAGAGGAGACAATGACTCAGAAAGGCACAATGATGTGTCTCAGGCCACACAGCTTGGATACGATAGGGTCAAGATCCAAACTCAGGTCTCTCACGGGTCAGCCCTTTTTACTCCATGGCTCACTATGCCAACCTTCACCAGTATGCGTGTGTGTCCTCTTTCAATCCCTCACCCAAAGAGCTGACCAGAGCGTGGGCACAACAGAGCCCTGGGGCCCCATGGAAGAACTCACCCTCTAGGTCAAAGCACCTGTGATGAGTAATTCTAATGGGACATGACTGAGAACTGCTTGGGAAGGATCTCAGTGAAGCCTTGGCTAGATCACATTGGTCCATAATCATGTCTATGAGGGACTCTCTTGACTGTTTTCATTATGTGGAAAGGCCCAGCCCAAAAGTGAGCAGCATCATTTCTGGGTTTGGGGCCCCAGACTGTGTAGGGGCAGAGAAAGCTAAGTGCTAAACAATCTGTACAGTCATTTCTCTCTGCCCTTGACTGCAGGATTAGCTGCTTCAAGTTATTCAAGTTCATTTCCCCACAATGAAGGACTGAAACCCAGAGCTGTAAGCCACTGAATAAATCCTTTCTCCCCTATGTTGTGTTCTGTTGGTATTTATCACAGCAGCAGAGACTAGAGCAGGATCCATGTGTGGCTGTGGGCACTATATGGCAAAAATACCTGGGGAACCACTGAAATGAAATGCAGCTCCATGGATTCTTTCCACTGCCCCCAAGGAACCCAGGAGGCCTGGGAACATGTATTTTGCTTCAGGTGATTCCAATACAGACAGCAGAAAAGAACTACTTCCCCTAACCTCTGGGCCCTCCTGGGAGGCACCTAATGGGTCTCTGATGCTCTGCCAAGACCTGTGTGAGTGGTTCCCTGCTCTCCATCTCCCCTCCTGACTCCCTGCACTAAGATGCTGTCAGTCTCTAGGACCCCACCCACTGGTCTTGCTTTCCTGCCCCATGTGTCCAGGGCCAGGCACAGGACACAGGTCAACATGTAAAATGGAAGGATAGCTGGAAAAGCAGCAGATAAATCCCTTTAAAATTAAAAATGGCTATCATATAACCCAGCAATTCCACATCTGGGTATATTTTCAAATCAATGGGAAGCCAGGTCCTGAAGAGAGATCTGTGCACACATGCTAGGGTGAAAGGGTAGCAGCGCCCAGCACCCATCAATGAACAAGAGGATAAATAGTCTTGTCTCTGAGCCCATTACAACATGGATGAACCTTGAGGACATTATGGCAAGTGAAATAACCCAGTCACGAAAAGATAAACATGTTTCCACTAAATGAGCAGCTGCAGCCGAGAGTCAGAGAGAGCGATAGTCACGGCAGGGGGGACGCAGATGGGGCTGGGAGGAGTCGTGGTCAAATAGCTGTGGCCTGTGCAAGGTGAAGCAAGCTGGAGATGGGTGGTGGTGAGTAGCCGACAAGGTGGATGCATGAAACAGCATGGACTGTACACTTAAAAATGGCAAAATGTGTGAATTGTATGAGATTGGCATTTTGACACGAAAACTATAAAACGAGTAAAAACTGTAAAAGAAAGAAACAGTAGAAAAGATGGAGAAATCAGGAGTGATGGCAAGAAAGAGACAGGAAACAGTAAACACACACAGAGAGAAAGGGAATTTAGGGAAGGAAGAGAGAGAGAAGGAAATTGATGGCGGGGATGGAGAAGGGGACTCAAAGAGCAGGAAGAACGGAAGACTAACTACTGCACATGGAAAAGGCCAACCACAGAGGGGAGGGCAGGCTGCCCTGGGGAGGGAGGGGCACGTACTACTGCACGAGGATCTTCACCAGGTTGATGTGGCCGCAGGTGGCTGCAGCGTGCAGGGGTGTCCACAGCTCATTGTCCTTGGCGTTCACGTTTGCACCATGGGAAAGCAACAGTTTCACGATTTCTTCAAAGTTGTCAATGCAGCACTGGGAGGGACACAGAGGTGGCAGAGTGAGGCCAGGCATGGCCCAGCACCCTGGTAGGGACACACTACACCCACAACAAGGACGGTGGAGACAGCCCGAGTTCGAATCCAGCTCTGTAACTTTGGGCAAGGCATCTTACTCTTAGAGTCAGTCTCCTTATTGTGTAAAACAGACGTTGATAACGAGCAAGATAAAAATAGCCTCAGCAAACAGCCCCAGTCAGCTATATTATAAAGTGTTAGTGGAGCTGCATTCAATTTGAATGGGCTTTTAAAATCCCAGACGGCTTTCTGCAGCAGGCAACATCCTAAGAGGAAGTCTTAAATCACCTCCAACTCAAGCAAGATTGCTCAGGTGTGTTTGGGGTCCCGGCCCACACCCTCCTTTGGGGTAGTGACCTCTAAAGTATCACCCTGCACTGCTGTTTGAAACTTTTAAGAGTTTCTGATCTGGCAATGCAAATATTGCAGAGGTTCCCAAGTGACTAAGATTCCTCTCAGCAGGTTCTGGGGACCCTGGCACAGTCGCTTGAAGGAGATAGCCTGTCTGTGCTTGAGTGAGCACAAGCAAGGGGGAAGGCCCGATTCTGCAGCTCCCCCAAGAGAACACAGGTCCCAGGGACAGGGAGTGAAAGACTCCCCAAAGAACACAGCCTCACCCAGGGACAATAGAGGTGGGGGCAGAGGATGACATCAGTGGTCACTCTGCGGTGATTCAGGGAACATAAGATAACCCTTCCTGTCCAAATAAGCCAGATTTGGTCTTCAGAGCAACAGGAGATGGGGAACTGTCCTTATATAAGTAGCACAACCTGACTTGTTTATTAAAAACAAAAACAAAGAACATTTCACTCTGCTAGCTCCATGTGAAGAACAGTGTGTGTGTGTGTGTGTGTGTGTGTGTGTGTGTGTGTGTGTGTGTCTGTCTGTCTGTCTGTCTGTGTGTGTGTCTGTGTGTGTGTGTGTCTGTCTGTGTTTCCATGACTATGTGCACGCGCGCACACACACACACACACACACACACACACAGACACACGCACGCGGACAGAGAGAAGCTATGTTGAAGTCACCTAGTTTGGAGATGGTGGTGGCCTGGCCAATGTAAGTAACTACACATATATAGGAAGGCGAACATGGAAGCCTGCAGAAGGATTGGAGGCACCTATGTGAGCCCATGACACCAGATGGCTGTGGTGTGGGACACCACCACAGCTCCCAGCATATCTCCAGCCAGCCAGGACCAGAAGAACACGCAGGAAAGGAGCAGCCATGTGCACAGATGGTGCCAGAGAGCCAGTTCTTTCTGCCAGCTGGTCCAGTATGGCTGGGTCTCAAGGTACCGTTCTGGACAGACACAGAAAGAAAGATACAGCCCATTGGGAAGGCCGGAGAACCATGCAGTGTCTTAAGACAGCCAGTAGAGGGAGACACAGGCACTGAAGCCAGGCATAGGTAGACAGCAAGAAAGACATGTGGGGGCAGCGTCCAGTTGTAAGGAGACAGGAGTACCAGGGGACTGACTGCACACCCAGAGCTGTGGAGTTTTATGAGAGTGGTCCCAGGACTGCAAAAGGGATGCACATGCCGTGTGGTGTGGGGGGGGGGGGGGAGGGGGAGCAAGCCCTGTAATCACTGTGGAACCTCGGAGAGAAATGGCCCCTGCAGCAGGCTGACTCCTCCTGCCTCTTCTCTTCTAATACAGAGCCAGCTGAGTGCTTGTCTCTCAAGTGTCTGTCTCCATCCCTGCTGCCCAGGGGGCACTGCATCAGCTCTACCTCCAGATGCTCTCTGCTGTACTGTGACATCTCAAACCTCAGAAGGTTCCTCATGACCCAGAGAAGCAGACCTGCACTCCTTGGCGAGCCTCGGGAGGCGCTGCAGGTGCCCCAGTCTCCCATGTTGTATGCAACAATACCCAGCTGGGCCGATCCCAGCATGTCACTTCATTATCAGTAGTAATAGCTATTGCTTCCGTAAGACCTACAAGGCCTGTCACTAGAATTCGCTTTAGCCATTCACTGTAGCATTTAACCCTCAAAATGGAGCAGTGGTCCTCTCCTTCCCTCTGGAACAGAGAAGCACAAAGCCACACACATAATAAGAAATAGATTCACTCAAGGTTACAACCCAGCAGCATCCAACTACCTCAGTACTAGGGAGGTAAGGCAGAAGGATCATTAGTTCAAGACTAGCCTCGGCTGCATAGTAAGAGCCTACAAAAATTAAACAAAACATAAGGTACCCACACAATGGCACAATCAATATCGACAGTGTTGGATTAAAAGTGAAACAGTCCATCTCCAAAGGTCCTGTTCTCATGCTGGCCCCTCCTGCCTCCCACTCTGCCTTCTAAGTACTCCTTCCAGCTCACACTCGAAAGGCTGGGTTACTTCCTCATGCCTCTGGAGCTGTTCCCTCTGCTCTAATGCTGTTCCTTTTCTTTCTGGAAAACTCTTTCTCACACTCACACAAACACTTTCTTCAAGTCCCAGCGCAGGTGTCCTTCCTCTTCGGAGCCTGTCTCAGTTCTCCTTTGAGGCAAGCCACCAGCTCCCAGCTGCGAGCTGTCCAGAGACCTCTGCTCCCACACCACCTCAGCTCAGCTGCTTATTTCTATGCCCGTGGTCACATCACACCACACAGTCTGGGAAGAACAGACACTTCCTAACTCCCTGTCCCTAGCAGAGCATCTGACACAAGAGCAGGTGAGCAAAAGGGGATTGAGAATGAGAGTCTGTGGGCCAGTGGGGGCAGATGCCTCCTAAGGACCATCCCAAGATAGAGCCCAAGGCAGGTGTGGGGATGGTAGTAGAGTCAGGGGTGAGTTCTACACAGTTAGGCTCAGACCCTGCAGAGTTTTTCCCTCCTTATGCTTCAGAGGCCCAGTGCCCCAAAGGAGAAACTAGACCTGAGGAAGTCATGTGATCAACAGGAAGACAAGGAGGTGGAGTGGTGAGAAATGGAAGGAACCCTAGCCCAGGAGAGAGTCCCCACAAAAGAAGTTCACAAAGGCAAGAATAGCACCCTAGAGAGAGCTCCTGGGACTCTGCTAAACACTGTACCCAGACAGTCGAGGCTACTGATGTTAACCCTAGCTCAGCCATGGTTCACCGTTTGACTTAGATCCCAGAGATTTCACATCTAACATAGTCAATCTGTATTTCAACTCACTAAAATTAAATAAGAGTTAGAATCCAGTTCTTGTCTCACCAGCCACACAACTCTATGGCTACTTTACTGGTCCACATAGACACATAGAACAGTTATTCCCACCTTTGTGGACAATTCTACAGAATAGAGCTGCCCTGAGGTTCTGTTTCTTGAGATGTAAAATGGGAATAACAACGTTTTAGAGGGTCACTATGAGGATCAAAATGAGATATACCACTGAAGTGCTTTTGAAGTAGTCACATGATAAACTGTAATCAAAACTCAAATCTTTTAGATTACTTGAAATCTTTCATTACGTGTATACGTGTATATGTAGGTATGTGCATGTGTGCATGCAGGTGCTCATGAAAACCAGCAGAGGGCATCAGAGCCCCTGGGGCTGTAGTTACAGGTGGTTGTTCAGTCTGACACAGGAGCTAGGAACTGAACACTGGTCCTCTCTGCAAGAGCAGTATGTGCTCTTAGCCACAGAGCCTTCTCTCTGATGTAAATGGAGATTTTCCTGTCTAGTTTGCATCCCACTGGACCTGCCACCTATGAGGTCCCACAGCTGCTTAATGAAATAACCACTTAGAGACTTAATATATATTTATAATTGTTTAGCCAATGGCTTAGACTTCTTACTGGCTAGCTGTCTCTTAATTATTAACCCATAGCTATTAATCTGTGTATCTCCACCGGGCCTTATCTTACCTGAGAATGCACCCTACCCTCCTGTGGCTACATGGCATCTGTCCTTTGTCTTTCTTTTCCTTGCCCTTTGTTTGGAATTCCCATCTAGTTAAATCCTGCCTGTCCATTGGCCAAAACAGCTTTATTCATCAACCACTAAAAGCAACACATATTTGCAGCATACAGAAGGACCTCCCACATCACTCCAGCCTGATTACTGCATATTCTGTGGTGAGCATTGCTCGAAAGCTTTTCACAGGTGATCATTTAATCATCTCTACAACCCAAGGAGATGAACACTGTTTCCCTTTCACAGGTGAGGAAACTAAGGCACAGAGAGCTTAAGGAATTTGTTCAAGGCCACATGCACGTGAGTGACAGTTCCAGGCCTCAATCTGACTCTATCCTGATGGCCATTCTGTCACTGTTCCCCTGGTTAATACTGCCTATCCTCAGAGGTTGCCTTCTAGGTCCCAAATCCATACTGGACAGGGGATCTTGCCTCAGGAGCATCCTCAGAACTCCAGAGTGAATGAAGCTGGAGTTTGGGTGATTTCCCAAGAGCAAGATCCATGAGATTACTGAGATGGTGGCCAAAGTGTGGGTGCCTGAGGCCCTGGAGTAAGGGCGAAGAGTACATGCAGACAGCCCTCAGGCTCAAAGCTGAAGGCTGTGGACAAGGCCTTGTCCCAGCATCTATGGGCAGAGAATGTGTGGCTTGTCTCCGTCCATGGGGTTTTAGTTGCCTTGTTTCTCCCCATCAGGCTGCACTCAAGCCCATCCACTAAATACTCCAGTGATGGCACAGAGAAGCTTCAGCGAGGCCACTCACCAATGCAACATGCACATGTTGAATACCTACCATATGTAACATGGGGAAAGATGCTACAATGGAATGGATAGATGGAACACAATGGATAGAAGACAGGCTGGGCTGTGGTGAGGCTCAGGGTCTGAGATAAGGCAACCTCAGAGTGGCACCCTAGTGCTAAATGATTAGAGAGGAGGGGTCACTTGTTATAGCCCAGATCTCAAGCTCTTCCTGGGGACAGGAGGTGAGAACACAGGGCAATGTAAAACAAGCAGTGGGGAAGAGACCACTGTGCAGGACCTGAAAGGCAGTGACCCAGCTTGGGAACTGGGGGAGGGACAGAGACTGGGCAGGACAGACCTTAAGGGTCTTGTGCAGAATAGCCAAGGTTTGTCCTCTACCCTCAGCATTAGGAAGAAGACACTAGAGAGTTCTGAACTTGAGTAAACTTTCAGGTTTGAGAGAAAAGAATTAACAGCAAGACTCAACTGAACATGAAGGCCATGGAAGGCAAAGCTTCCATGTGGGTGGCGACAGCCAAGGCTGTCCCCAGACAGGGAGGGCTGTCACCACACTCCCTTGGAATGGACATGTGTAGGACAGCACATGCTTCATGACCATAGTTCTTGGCTATGTGACCTTAGGCAACCAAGTCAAGCAACTTTGTCCTCAGGGTGAGTGGATGGCCTGGTGGCTGTGACTGCACTCTGTCAATTCTCAACCTCTATACCAATTTTCTCACTGGCTGTGAGCACACAGTGAACAAAGGACCCCTGTCCTCAGAGCCTGTCACTGTGTATGTGTGTTTGTGCACCAGGGGCTCTAAGAACTTGTTTGTGACAGACACACACATCTCCAAAGGACAAAAGCCTTTCAGCTGGACTCTCTGTGCCCTTCTCTCATCATCTCCACTTCCCTGAGGATTTGGGGTATCTGTTATCAAGGAGCAGGGAGGCCAGGGGAGCCCAGAGAGGCCTGCTTACCTGGTGCAAGGCTGTGAGTCCATCCTCATTACACAAATCAGGGCTGACCTTGTTCTTCAGGAAGTAGCGTACTGCAAGAGGAAGGGACAGGAGTGAGGTTACTGTCACACACTTGCAGGAACCCAAGAAGACACCCTCCCCCATGCCCCAACACAAATGGTCTTGCTTACTCCCAGCAGAAGGATAATGGGATGCTAACACCATCCCCATTTCACAGATGAGGAAAATGAGGCACAAAACCTAGGTCTTTAGTCTAGGATTTCCAAGCAGTACCTGTCTTATCCTGGGTCACATATACAAGGGCTGACAACTGTCCTGCCTTCCTCTGGGCCAGTCACTGATCTGAGCAGTTGGGGGGGTTGTTCTTGGCAGTGCTGGGGATGAGGCCTTGTGCATGCTAACCAAGTACTCTACCACTGAGCTACACCACTGGCCTTTTTTGTTTTGAGAGAAAGCCTTGCTTAGTAGCCCCGGCTAGTGTGAAACTTGCTATGTAACTCAAGGAGGTCTCAAATTTCAATTCTCCTGCCTCAGCTTCCCTCCTCTCTGGACCCAGCTTCCCTAAGCAGAGCAGTGAGTAGGCAAGTGGAATTCTTGGCCAGAGGACTAGTCAAGGGGCAGCTGCCTGAGGACATGCAGATGAAGGGGAAGTTTAGGCCTCACCCCAGCAAGAAAATGTCTCCAACAGCCTTGCTCAAGATGCACAGCACAGGTGGGCTCTCCAGCTGCACTGTCCCCTATGGAGCCACAGGCCACATCAAGCTATGGTGGTCATTTACACTGGGATTAATATTCATGTAAAACACAGTGTCCACCACTCTGCTCAGCAGAGTGGTACAAAGTGGAAAGAATAGAAATCAAGGGTGCCAATCTTCATAGAAAGTTCTAGGGGACACTGCTGCTTTCAGGCATTGCAAATGGAAATCAGCTTCATATGTTCTAACCATTCTCTGCCCCGCCCCACTGCTCTGAGAATAGCATCTTCTACCCCTGCCTTGGATGTAAAGTCTTGCACGTTGACACGATCCCCGCTTCAGGTCACTGCCTTGCCCGATTCCATGGGGCACCGTTCATATTGTGGTTTGGAGACTAACTCCCTCTGAAGCTGTGCAGTGAAAGGCTTGTGAGTTAATCCTGTCCACCTGCCCCTCCACCTTCATTTCTTGAACTCCTAACATTTTCTGCAACAGTAGTTTGTGTCAGCTAAATAATCACACATCCTCTGACCTCTGAGCTTTATGCATAGCCTATTCTGGTTGCCTGGAAGACTCAATTATCTCTCCATCCATGCATATATCCACAAATCCAGGCACCCTCTCTAACATGCATCTGAGCACGTGTGCAATGTTATACATACACACATGCATATGTACACATATCTGCCTCATTCCTCATCCTTTAGGTCTCAGTCAAACTCTCTGGTCCCTCCCTGCTATATATCTTCACGGACAACCATATTACAGCCACACTGTATGACTGAGTAATTACAGGTTTTGTATCTGCCTGCCTGCTGAGCACTAGGCCCAAGAAAGCAGAATGTAGCCTGGTGTTCACGACTCTGTTCCTAAGGCCTGACACACAATGAATCCTCAGAAACTCCTCTGGGACCTTGACATCCTTGGCAGTTCCCTAGCCCATCTCAAAGACACAGGCTCAGGGCTGGAGAGATGACTCAGTGATAAAAAGCATTGATAGCTCTTGCAGAGAGAGTATTCAGGTTCAGTTCCTTGCACCCACATGGCAGCTTATAACCATCTGCAATTCCAGTTCCAGGGGATCCAATACCCTCTTCTAACATTCTGTCACCAGGCATGCATGTGGTACAGATGCTCGCATAATGTATAAATAAATAAATAAATAAATATTAAGAAAATACATACAGGCTCTCCACCTTAGACTACCACAGACCATCTTGAGGGCTAACTTCAAGGGACAGACAACTGCTATAACAGGAAGTTCTGCCCACATGCAGGTGCTTCCTACAGAGCTTGGTAGAACCACTCAGTAGGTGGCTCTAGCCCAGGGCTACTTGAGGAGATGATGGCAAAGCCATCAAGACAGCTATCTCCATTGTTGACTGGAGTTGGAATCACCATGGACATGTCTTTGAGGATTTTTCCAGAGATGTTCACCTGAAGTGAGAAGTCCCATTCTGAACGTGGACAGCACTATCTCATAGGCCATCCTGGACTGAATAAAACAAAAAGAGCTGAGGACCAAGGTTCATTACTCTCTGCTTCCTGGCTGTGGGTACAAAGTGACCAGTCACCTTTCTCTCCTTCCACCATGCCTTCCCTTCCACGAGGGACTGTACCCTGGGACTGTAAGCCAAACCCTCCCTCCCCTAAGTGGCTTTGTCAGATGTTTTTGTCACAGTGATAAGAAATGACTAACACAGGCACTGACCACCCCAGGCCCAGCTTGTATCTGGGCTGCCAATGGTGCCCTGCACCTAACAGGTGGTTCTAGGGGAGAGAAGTGGCCATTAGGACCCTGTCAGGGAACTGTTTCTAGAAGGTTCTTCTCACATGAGCAGATTCTAGTTGTCTAGATGGATGATGGCTCAGGCTTCCTGTCCAGAAGACTCTGAGGCAGGAAATAGCATCAGCCGCCAACAGCAGCATTTGCACAGTAATTATCGGGGGGCTCTCTGCACTGTGTGGGAGCCCAAGCCATGTAATTACCCTGAAGTCGGGCAGTTATTTTCATCCCAAGAAGTGGGACAAATCATCTCCAGCTCGAAGAAACCCTTAATACCCACAAGCCAAGGCTGCCTCAGCAGCTCTCACTAGGAGGCCAGAGCCTGGCTCTGAGCCCGGCTCCCTGGAGCAAAGCCCCACTACCCAGCACACAGCCAGCTCCCTTTCTCTGTGTTCAGCAAGAAGGCGGACTCTGTGCTTGTCTGCTCAGTGGTTTTTCTGTTGTTTTGCTTTGTTTTTAGAGGTACTGGGATTAGAAGCCGAGGATCTACTACTCAGTTCCATAAACCAAGCTGAGGGGGGCTGTAGACAGGAGGGGATGCTTCTGAGACCAGCTGAACAGCAGATGACCTTCGCCCCTGCTCCCCACCACAGACAGAAGGGCTCCCACAAGCAGGACAGAAGAAACTCAGCCTGGTGATGGGTCACTTGCACTGTGTTCATCCCAGAGAGGCAGAGCCGAGTGTCAAGATAGACTGCAGCACCCATTGCCATGGTAGGTCCTGTGTGGTAAGGTCTGCAGAGGCTTGGTTTTCAAGGACCTACAGAGTGTGGCCCCACCTAGGGCTCCCATCTCAACCAACTCAGAGGCCAGATTATTGTCATCAGTCTGTGTGAATGGCACACTTTGAAGTTGCACTTGGCCTGCACATGGCTATGCTGAGATCTTCCATTTACCCTTCTGGATTCATGACTTACTCCATGAGCATCCTGAACAATGTAGGGAGGCAGACTGGGGTCTAAGGATTGACAGGGGCTCAGGAAGCACAAAGCCAAAAGGGTCACACTTTCTTCTCTAGCCAGGAGCGCCAGCTTCTCTCCTAGTTGCTGCTCTTGGGGCTGCTTCCTGCCCACCAGACCCCAGCTTCCAGGCTTGGTCATCAGTTTATCAGAGTGAACCATCTGTTCTCGAGTATGTGTTTAGCTGTGGCTTCAGCCTTCAGGTCCTTAGCTATAAAGTGGGGATCAAATGAGGACTTCTTTTTTAAGGTGCTGTGAGGATTTAGTAAGAGAAGGTCTAAGTGCTACTATTATCAGCTGAGAGAATAAACACTGAAACTAACTGGTGAGCTACACCTAGGTCCTACCTGGGTTGGGCACTGGGTACTGGGTACTGGGGATGTTCCCATGGGCATTGAAAATCACCCACAAGCTTTCAAGCCAGGCCTCACAGACAGAAGCAGTCTCTCTTCATGGAACTTTAACAAATGCAAGTAAGACCAGAAAGAGGCCTTGGAGGACATCCCTGTTCCCCAGTGGACAGAACACCCCGTGGGCCTGCCCCAGAACAAAAACACCTCTTGATGGCAAGCGGTGGCTCCTGGTCCCCTCCCCCACATATCCCGGTGCCCCCCTGCACTCCACCCACACCTCCCAGGCAATCTGGCTGGAATCTGGGCCAGCAAGGCCATCTGCTCTTTTGCTCTCCAGCTGCAGCGCAGGGCTGCATGGGGTCTTCCCTGGAGGAAGCTGGTGGCAGCTGCCTTCACAGGCAAAAGTCACCACTGACAAGACTGTGCTTTCCTTTGCCATCTGACCCACCTTGTCCCCTAGAGCTCACCGCTTGACCATGAGCTGGTGAGTGACTTGCGAGCTCAGGGATGGGCCCTGCTCCTGCACCTGAGGACTGATGCAAGATGACAGCAGGGTCTTCCTACAGCAGATGGACCTTGAGCAAGATGCAGCTCCCCAGGGTGCCCCAGGCCCACCTGCTGCCATCTAACCAGATGACTTGAGAGGCATGCTCATGATCACCATCTTTTCTTCCCTGTCACGTCTTTTCTACTGCATCAAGTTCCTGCATGAACCAGTCCCCACTTCTCCCTCCAAATCCTCCCTGCTCCCTCCCTGACTGCCGATTCTGCTGCACTGGCTTCTGTCATTTTCCAAACCAACCAAAGCTGGACTCCTGGGCCCCAGCCTCGACATCACAGAACCTGCATCTGAAGTCTTCTTTCTTTCCACCCTGGGCCAGCAAACAAATTCTTCTTTGTCCTTCAGATTGCAGTCAACCTCTCTGTGGTGCCCTGCCCTTCCTTACTGCAGGAGCCTTTTCTTCACGCCTCATGCAGGCGCTTGCCCCTGAGCCCTGAGGGTTATTCCTCATGTTGTCTTGCAGACACAAGACTCCTCAGGGAGGGACTCAATGACCCAAAGAGCAACAATTAGGGGTTAACAGAAGGCAGGGACAAGTGCCCCTCCACTAGCACCCTTTATCCAAGTGAGGGGATCTGGAGGATAGCCCTACTTATCAGCCCGACTTCACATGATCTCTACTCCGGACTGGAAACAGGTCACATCATTTCTCCTCCCTGACACAATACTCCTTTCTCTCTCTCATCCCAGGCCCTATGCACTCACTCCATCTGTAA